TTGCAAATCCATCTTTTTGTTGTAGTGGTAGCCAAGGGAATGACTCATTATAAGTTGGTTAAATGGATTTGCCAATGGTTACTTGAAAATTGTATAAAACTAATCTCGTTCACGAAGTAGTCTTGAATCCTAAATTGTCTCCTATAACTAGGCATTAGATGTTGCATTGCACTAACTTCTATTGTATTTGTATAGGATTCTTGTTTTTGTAACACATATAAGCTATTGATTGAAAAAAATGGCAAAATTATAATTTGGTGCTCTAAGGGTAATATAAATATTAATTAGTTAACAAAAAAATTGACGAAAGTAGTTGATTGATATTTTAAAAAAATTAATGTACTTAAATGAAAAAAAATAATAATTAAAGTTCATACATTCAATTAAAATGTGTACATTTCTTTTATATGAAAATTAAAATTAGAATCTTATTATTGATCATTAAGACACAAAGCAATGTTTAAAGTGATTATTTTTACTTATTAAAATATATTATAAAAAATCATCAAAATATCCCAAAATAAGAAAAATTATTTGGCATTATGTGGATAGTAAATAGAAAGTATGACTATTCGGATATGTTGGTTGGGAAAATTTTTTAAAAAATATCAATAAGTATGACATGTTTAGAAAATACCATTAGATAATTAGGTAATTTGTTTATCTTCTATGGATTTTAAAAGCATATATAAGATTTTAATTCTAGTTTTTGAAAGTTGCAAAAGGTATTTGTTTAAAATAATTATTATGATAATGACTTGTAGCTCAACTAATATTAGTAGTCCCATTTCTTCCAAATGGCTTGCAAATTTGAACCTTTTTCTATAAGACAAAAAATAAATAAATCTGAGGGATGAAATTATTTATTTAAAAAATACTTAAAAAAAAGTTTCCACACATATTATAATAACTCACATTATGAAGGTTAATTTTCTTTTTTCAAAGAGTGAATAGATCTATACCTCTATTAGATTATTATCATTGAAATTATTGTTGTGTTTTAAATAAAATTATTAATTTTTTGGTTTATAAAATCTACTACATTATTATCTATTTTCATCGAAATTATTGTTATGTTTTAAATAATTAAATTGATTTTTTTTCACTACAATATGACATCAACTACTCTTTTTTTTTTTTTTTTTGTATTTATTCAATGTAAAATATAATTTTTAACACTTTTTTTCTCACTTGTAACGAATCTTTTGGAATTTATCAAGATGTTTAGGCAATATTTATTAGTCTGTTGGATCTTTTTAAATTTTTTATTCCATATTAAATTTTATATTTGAGTTTGAATTTCATTCACAAAACTTAAGTTCATTCTCAATTCTTATATATTACTTTTTCTACTATTTTATTTATTAAATGTAAAATATGTACGTTATCTAACATAAATAGGTTTCAATATCTTCTCTCAACTTCACTCTATGTCAATTTTGTTCTTATGCACTTTTTTAAGATTAGCTTTGTGTATCTATTTAGTGTTTTATGGTATTTTAATTTTACGTATTAGGCTGTATGGTGTAATGTTTTGTAATTGTACCGTGTAGTCTCACTTGGATTTTATTAATAATATATATTATCTTCTTCTTCATTTTGTGATATATTGGTTGGCCACACATCAACATGAAATATGTTATTTTTCACACTCTCATAAAATTAAGAAGGCCGCACTACACTTATGTTAGGATCAAAATTTAGAGTATTTTTGTGAATAAACTAATCAGATAAATATATGTTACTTTTTTTTGAAAAAAAAAAAACTATTACCATGAGTCAAACTTAAAACTCCAGGCTTAATAACTCTTCTCCTACTAAGTTAGCTATGAACAATATAATAAAAATTATGACGTTATTTTTAAATTAAGAAATATAACTACTCAATTAATTTCTTTCTAAAATATTTACCTTACAAACTAAATGAAATATATGTTATCTTAAATTGAATACATTTAATAGGATGCATCTATGAAGATGAATGCAGAATAATGTAACATTGTATTTATTATTTTTAATAGACTTATTAATATTTTTTTCGTCAACGGTTCCTCAACGAGTATAACTTATTAAGAGGACATGAAGAATAAAGTTTGGGAAATAAAACTGCTACAATAAAAAAATTTGACAGACTTGGTATTTTTACGTACAGTTTTGAATTAGGATACGGAATTTTTTTCAAAAAAATCTTTTAGTTTAAGCATTCATGTTTATTGCTTTATTATTAGGATTTTCCAAGTGGCGTAATAAAGTTCTATAAATCTTTTCGCCTCTATGATTGAAAGGGCGACATGGGATGATGTACTTACTTAATGAATTAATTTGGATGTAATTATATTTTTTTCAATTTTGAATGTCAAAAAAAATGTTGATAAGTGAAACATTATCATTAATTTAGGAAGTCTGTCTTATGTTATTTGGAGGACAAATAAAACCAGCATCTTGAATAATAAATCTTGAGAATATAGATAGTTTTGACAAACCAAATATGCCTACTATACTAATTTTTAATGTTTTTTCAATCCAACGTATGAATCTTATTTTTTATTGTTTGAGTATACTAAATTTTTTAAACTGTCAATCAAATATATTTCATCTAATTTTTATCAATTGCTTTGTTATTTTATGGTATGTTTTTTCTTCCAGATTACTAAATTATGATTTTGAAAAAAAAAATTTCTATCAAATTATTATTTAAAAAATAAATAAGTAGAAGATGACACGATAGTTTAGGAGAAAATTTTTCCTTTTAAGAATGAAAGAGAAAAACCATACTCACTTTGTCTCAAAAAGATTGTCCCATTTTCTATTTTTTTCAAAATATTTGTTTGGTCAAAATTTTAAATAATGTATTTTTTCTGAAGTATATATTCAATAAATCGACCAAATAACTTTCCCCAAGGAGTTTACTATGACCCACAACTTGATCCGGTTTAGGAACTATGATGATTGCACGAAAACCTATGATGAGAATTTAATCTTAAAATATGGCATTTTAGAGAGGAAATCATGTAGACTAGTTTCTTAAAACTAAAAATATTTCATTATTACGAAAAGAATTATGATTCATTTATGTTCACAAAGATTGACGATAACAATTCTTTTGCAACTTATTACATCTGTGGTCCCGAAATTCTAAATTTGGTCATTTTAAATATCTATATACCATAATTTTGGACATGACAACTTTCTCACTTTCAATTTCAACTGATCCTTTCATGTCGTTCATGTTTATCGAATATATTCTATGTGTGGAAATGTAAGTTATCATTTGTGACAAATATTTGAGAGTGTTCAGAGTTCAAATACCAACCATATGGTGCATCATTTGTATTCAAAAGGCAAAAATTTTGAAATTTCTGAGTTTTATATATCCAACTTCAAAACATATATTTTATAATTAGATTAGTTTATATATGTGTTGTGTACTAATTTCAATACAAATATTGCGTTTGGTAATGTTTTTAAAAGTGATTTTAAAAATGCATTTGGCCTAAAAGAATATTAATTTGATATTTTTTAACCGAAAAATAATTTTATAAAAACATCTACTATTACATTATCAAACACACAAAAATATACATAACAAATATTTTCACTTTTTTCAACGGGATCTAAAGCATTCAACTCTAAAAACTCACATAATTATCACTACCGCCAACCTCTAAGTTAATTGGGCGGCACGCGGTTTCAGTAAAAGAGTTAAAATGATTCAACTATAAGACTTAAGGGCCCATAGATGTCTAGCCAACCCAAGCCTAACTTCCACACTAAACATGTGACACCAGTCAGTCAATAACTTAATAATGATGGGCAGCGTAGTCATTTCAGAACATCTGATGGTGCGCCTTAATTCTCTCTAATTTTTTACGCTTACGAACAGACACACACTATATATACATGAACCGTCCCAAACATTCTCGCTATCATTCCATTTCTGTCCCAATTCTCATCTCTCTCTCTTAAATCTCTATTACTTGTCTGGGATTTGCTCGATCTTCACCTGAATTAGATTTGTAAGTCAATCTTGTTACTTCTCTCTGTTTTTTTTTTTTTTTGGCTTTAAAATGGTTTTGTTATCTCACTAAATTGAAGCATGGTTTATGCAAGGTTTGATCTTGATCAGTTGTTGTTGTTTTTTCAAGCTGTTTATACTATTGTTGTGATCTGGGTTTTTCTCCTTTTCTTTAGATCTGTGATAAAGGTGGAAACTTTTTGTATTTTCTGTTGCTTGCTATTTGATTTGGATGATCCACATTTGTTGCTTAGTTGGATCTAGACCTTTGTATTGAAAAAAATAGTTTGGAACTATTGTTGAGTATCTGATTCATGCTAAGTTTGTTGAAATTGGGTTTTGGAATCATTACCGTTCTTGTTGGTTTTGTGTGGATCTATGATGTATTGTTGTCATAATTACTTAATGGGATCTGGTGATTTGGTTGTGATCTTGTTGTCATATTTAATTTTGAGATTACTTTCTGGTTTGCTAATTGCTGTTGATGTTTATTTTTATTGAGATTTGGACTGCATATATAACTGAAGTATGGAAGTTATGTAATTTTTTCCTTGAGGAAATGATCTCGTTGCTTTAGATTTAGTCAAACTTTCTTAATACCTTATTGTATTGAATCTGGGAAAAATGAGATTTATTTTTCCTTTGGTTTATTGGTAACCACCTGAGTTATTTTTTACTATTATCGTATTGATTTGATCACTTGGATGTACGTTCTCCCTAGATTGTCCGCATATCTATTGTCCATTTCCTCTCTCTCTATCTCTCCCCCTTTGTTTACTTAATGTGGTTTTGATCGTTGGCTTTTGCTTTTCTCTGGAGATAGATACTTGTGGACCCATCTTTGATTGCATTCCTTCTAGTTTGTTTTCTATTGTGACCAAGATCTGCTCTTCTATTTTAAATCTGGGCAAACTTTTATGTTCTCGTACATGTAGTCCTACAGTATAATTTTATATTTTTTCCTTGCAGAAGTTGTTTTGGCATCATGGCTACGTATACTCCAAAGAATATCCTCATCACTGGAGCTGCTGGGTTTATAGCATCCCATGTTTGCAATCGGCTTATCCGTAACTACCCTGATTATAAAATAGTTGTGCTTGACAAGCTTGACTATTGTTCAAATCTGAAAAACCTCCTCCCTTCTAAGTCATCCCCTAACTTTAAGTTTGTCAAGGGTGATGTTGGAAGTGCTGATCTCGTTAACTTCCTTCTGATCACTGAGTCGATTGACACAATTATGCACTTTGCGGCCCAGACCCATGTGGACAACTCTTTTGGTAACAGTTTTGAGTTTACTAAGAACAATATTTATGGAACTCATGTCCTTTTAGAAGCTTGCAAAGTCACTGGCCAGATCAGGAGGTTCATCCATGTGAGCACTGATGAAGTATATGGGGAGACTGATGAAGATGCTGTTGTAGGAAATCATGAGGCCTCTCAACTTCTCCCAACCAACCCCTACTCTGCAACAAAAGCTGGAGCAGAAATGCTTGTTATGGCATATGGTAGGTCATATGGACTGCCTGTGATAACTACTCGTGGTAACAATGTCTATGGTCCCAATCAGTTCCCTGAAAAATTAATTCCAAAGTTTATACTCTTAGCTATGCAAGGGAAGCATCTTCCCATCCATGGGGATGGTTGTAATGTGAGAAGTTACTTGTATTGTGAGGATGTTGCTGAGGCTTTTGAAGTCATTCTTCACAAGGGAGAGGTTGGCCATGTGTACAATATTGGGACAAAGAAGGAAAGGAGAGTGATTGATGTAGCGAAAGATATTTGCCACCTTTTCTCAAGGGACCCTGATACAAGCATCAAGTTTGTGGACAACAGACCGTTTAACGACCAGAGGTACTTTTTGGATGATCAGAAGCTGAAGGTTTTGGGATGGTCAGAGCAAACTACATGGGAGGAGGGGTTGAGGAAAACGATGGAGTGGTACACTCAAAATCCTGATTGGTGGGGTGATGTCTCTGGAGCCCTGCTTCCTCATCCAAGGATGCTCATGATGCCTGGTGGGAGACACTTTGATGGGTCCGAAGAGAACAAAGATGCATCTTATGTCTCGAATAATTCAAATCAGACCCGAATGGTGATTCCAGTTTCGAAAGGAGGCAGTGGTGGCTCTCCACGAAAACCTTCTCTTAAGTTCCTGATCTATGGCAGGACTGGTTGGATTGGGGGTCTGCTAGCGAAGTTATGTGAGAAGCAAGGAATTTCCTATGAATATGGAAAGGGGCGCTTGGAAGATCGATCCTCACTTTTGTCAGATATCCAGAACATTAGACCTACCCATGTTTTTAATGCTGCTGGGGTCACTGGAAGACCCAATGTTGATTGGTGTGAATCCCATAAGGCAGAAACCATTCGCACCAATGTTTCTGGGACTCTAACATTAGCAGATGTTTGCAGAGAGCACAACCTCCTGATGGTGAATTTTGCAACAGGCTGCATATTTGAGTATGATGCTGGTCATCCAGAGGGTTCTGGCATTGGTTTCACAGAGGAAGACAAGCCCAATTTCACTGGTTCTTTCTATTCAAAGACTAAGGCCATGGTAAGCTTTTTCTTTCAGATTCTCTCAAATTTTGATCTGAAATTATATTTTTAACGGTTATGTGTTTTTTTTTTTGGGAAATTTCAACCAGGTTGAAGAGCTTTTGAAAGAATTTGACAATGTGTGCACCCTCAGAGTTAGAATGCCAATTTCATCTGACCTAAACAACCCACGCAACTTTATTACTAAGATTTCTCGCTATAATAAAGTGGTGAACATTCCAAACAGCATGACCATCTTGGATGAACTTCTACCTATTTCGATTGAGATGGCAAAGAGGAACTTGAGGGGTATATGGAATTTCACAAACCCTGGTGCTGTGAGCCATAATGAGATTTTGGAGATGTACAAGAACTACATTAACCCAGACTTCACATGGGTTAACTTCAACCTAGAGGAGCAAGCCAAGGTGATAGTTGCCCCCCGGAGCAACAATGAGATGGATGCATCCAAGCTGAAGAACGAGTTCCCTGAGTTGCTGCCAATCAAAGAGTCCCTAATCAAGTATGTCTTTGAACCCAACAAGAGAACCTAAGCCAAACATTCAGTTGCATTGCTGTGCCTCTGAATACCCTAATTATATTCAAATATCTCTGTTCTACCTTCCATTCATTATTAGATTCATCTCATTGTTTCTGCCACGTTAGATAGTAAGGAGGTTAATTATACTACACATGGCAGTCATTTATCTTGGTTTGTATTTTTTGTTTGCTTAGTATTCCTTTACACAGGAAACTTTTAATAGGTTCTTAAAATTTGTGGTCATCTGAGAGTTGGCAGGGGGGCCTCTTAATTAGACAAATGTTTTGTGGTTTAATTCTTCTTTATCGCTGAGCTTTTAAATTCAAGTTTTGTACCGTCATGTTATGTGCTAGAGTTTCAAGAAATTTGGCAGGTTCAGTTTGTTTTCCGATAGTTAAAAGCTTCAGATTTGTCTTGAATAGATCTTTATTTGACCAGAACAGGATGCTTCTTTCATCATCCATCTGTTCACTTCTTAGTTTATATTTAAAAAATGTTTAGACCAATTTTAAACGGATACATCTACAAAAATAAAGGTTAAAAAAAAGGAAAATTTTTGTTTAAACATTTTTTCATGAAAACTAAAGGTAAAAAAAATAACAATCTAAGCTTGGATCGGAAACTTAACGAACTAATTGAAAATAAGATTTCAATTTTCTGTTCTTTTTTTTTCAAAAAAAAAAAAAAAATCAGTTCTAGGGTTTGGATGCTCTCATCAACCAGTTAAATCCCATGTCGATATGTTCAAGAGAGTTCACCATCTAGTCCATTACTTGAAACATAAAAAGATTTCTAGACTAATTGATCGCTAGATTATTGAAAGAGAAATCAAACCTTTCAAGTTTCGTACCACTTGCAATTGAAGTAAGGATTGAACCAGAAACACTATGTGAGGGGGAAAAGTTTTTGAAAATTGATCAAACAACTGGGAAAAAATACAAAAAATTTTTGTATTAATAGTCAACTAACTAGATGAAATACAAATAGTGAAAGATGTGACAGGAGAAGAAGACAATGCTAACAAAGGTATAAGTCAAGTGATAGATAGATAGATGGTCAAAATTCAAACATATAGAACTTTAGATGATATTTGGTGAATGAGAGAATTTTGAGAGAGATAATTCAAAGGTTTTGTTAAATATAAAAAAATTAGAATATCTTCACAATTGCTAAGATGATTTTTCACCATTAGAATCTTGTCATACCATTCATATTTGAACGATTAGATTTGAATTAAAGGTATTAAGTTCTTTTAGGTTAATTACCTAAATTGCTTTAACTTTCTAGCAAAGATTAAAAAAGATAACAATTGTGTCTTTTTTTTATCAAATCTTATTTCCAACCTATCAAAACAATCCCTCTAATGCATCTAAAAAACAATACGTGAATCCCGATCATATCGGGATACCTATGTTCATCTTTTCGAGGTCCAAAACTTTGTGTTAGAAGAGGTTCGTTGCCAATCTAATCCAGTTATTATGTAACTTGGACCTTTGTCAAAACCAATGCAAATTGTCTAACCATACTAATTTGGCTTTGCCAATCTAATCCAGATTATTATGTAAAGGATCGCATCCTTTAGATGGTCACACTAACCAATGCAACAATTTTTTTTACTTGTCTAACCATACTAATTTGGCTTTGCTACTATATTTTAGTCATTCGCCAGCTACACTAATTTGGCCTTACCACTCTATTCTCAAAAGCCACATTGATTTGTTATTGCCACTTCATTTTAGTCCCTCATGAGCTACTTTAATTTGATTTTGTTAGTCCACTTTATTTTGGTACATAACCTACCACATCAAATTTCCTAAAAAAATTAGCCAATATATTGATTTGTCAACGCATGTCATGGGCATCACTTCTGTGGTAATTAGATTTGCTCAAAAAATAAGTTTAAGTATATAAGAAAAACTTGTTTAATAAGCAAGTAGCCTCCTAAATGCCATGATAATCGCCCTATCACCAACCGATCATTTGTCAAAAATTTGGCTAAGTATATCGACTTTCCTTCTCTCTCTTTTTTTTTTTTTTTATAGCTTGATCAAAATTTAACATGGAGGTAGCTCCTATGTGAGAAGAAACATTAGTAGGAAATTCAAATTTAGCAACAATAATGATCTAAGTTGCTACTCGACATATAGGACTTTCCGATTAAAAAAATTAAAAAAAGAGTCACCACATAGTACTTTAACGCTATAAAAATTAAGCATTTAATGACAAAAAATTCTATCGCTAAATCTATATATTTCATCGTTATTTTCTTTTAGTGACAAAACTAGACTATAGGTAAAATACTTGTTGCTAATAATTTTAGCGATAGAAGTTACCATCCATCGTAATTTTAACGACGGATAAGTTGTCGTTATAGTGAACTATTTCCGTCGCTATAGTGAAGTACTTCCATCGCTAATGAGATGTAAACAGTCGGTTTATAATCGTAACATCTATCACAACAAGCATTGGTAAATTGTTTTATTTCTTTCACTATTTAAAGATAGAAATTCCTTGCGTAAATTGGTCACTAAATATGGTTGCTAAACCATAGCTTAGTATTGCTAATATACAGATGAAAATTTCTACTACTTGTTAGTGATTTATTGATAAAATATGTCACCATTGGTCCGTCATATAGCGACACATTTCGTAGTTTTTCATCGGTAGTTGATATAATTTAACCTTTCTTTATGTCATTAGCTTTCCATGTTTGTTCACATGCATTGAGAAACATGAGTTGTCTAATTCGGTCAAGCAATACTATTTTATGTTGTTTGTCTAGTGTTAAATATGCTTTAGAGTATTTTTCTAAGATTTCATCTCTTGTTAATTTTGGCTTCCAATGCAAAATTTTCAAGTCTTCTCTAGAAATGGCATTGTCTTTAGTTTTTTCGACACATTCATTATTGTGATAAACACATTATCAAATAATTTTTTTCAATACGCATTACATCTAAATTGTTTCAAATGAGATTAGTATTCCAATATGGCAAATTCCAAAATATACTCGATTTCTTCCAACTAGACAATCTAGATATTCTACTATTACACTCAATAACATCTTGTTTTGTGACTTTCATCAACTCCTAATTATTTATCTACTCCAAAATCTTCATTCCGGATCATATTGGGGAGCATTACTCGTCACAAATCTATTTTTTGTGAATTAGTTCTTGTTCCTCCTAAATGGATGATCTGCGGTAGGAACTTAAGATGTTTATCAAACCAAGACGTCTTTTTTCCATTAGGGAGGGTGAATGCATCGAATTCTCCATGCAATAAAGACATGATAATTTCTTTAATATACTCCAATCAAATAATATTGAATATATAGAGAAGTTACCGATTATCCACATAACTATAGCATACATCAAAACAATTTTCTTTCAAAACACATCGTAGGTCAAGCACATGCATTTATCACAAGTGAACCAACTATAGAATTAAGGATTATAAGAACATGTCCAATATATAGGGGTGAGCAAATGGTTCGATTAACCGAAAACGGAATATAACCGAATCGAATTATGGAATTTGGTTCGGTTTTGAATTTTAAATTGTATCATTTATAATCGAATCAAAAAATCAAAATTTATTTCGGTTCGGTTCAGCTTTTGGGAAAAAAAATTAGGTTCAAACCGAAAATCAAAATTTATTCCTAATCTAATTCTAATTTCGAAATACCAAATTGGTAAATCTTATCGGCGCTCGCATGATCGCGTCTCTCACTCCTCAATCCAAATACCAAATCTCGTTAGTGTCTACGTCTCTCACTCTCTCGGTCCTCACTCCTCGGATCGATTTTACTCTCTGTCTCTCTCAACTCAATCTCGGATCTCACTATCTTAGTCTCACTCATCTCTCACTCTATCGACTCTCGGATCTCAATCTCTCTTTCATCCTTCGGGTTTCAGCCTTCATTCCCTTCTCATATCTCGGTCTCTTTCACTCTCTCAACTTTCATCTCCGTGATTTTGCTATTCTTATCTTCCATGTGTCCGAGCGAGGTACTTTTTGCGATTGAAGATTATATTGAAACTTGTTATTGACAATTTGGTTTCTTAAATTTGGAAAAAAGTCGTTTTGTTCCGGTTCTATAAAAACATAATAATATAGTTGATCTTATGCTTCATTATGGACTTGAATTATGGAAAGATCATTTTATCTCATCCGATAACATGCAAGTCCGATTTGTGATCATCTATGGTTTTGATTTTTAATGAATCCGTACGCACCTTCTAAGGGGTATCCATTAGGACATAGGCGAGGGAAATCGAAACTTTGTGACTTCAATACATAAATACGAAGGATGTGAGGTTGGTCGTAATCCGATTTTCCTTTGAATATTAGGTAAAATATTTTAATTCTTAAGAATACGAGTGTAAACATTTGGTTATTGTAGGGTGACAATAAGTACTTGGAATGTTGCTAGAAGACATCCATACGAGGATCTTGATATTGATGATTGGCTCTGTACGTAAGAACCAAGCAGATATTTACGTCATTGGATAACTATTTCATCACTTTGTTTTCTCATCTTAATGATCTGGACTTTTTGTATCGGGAAAACTTTACATCTTCTTCTCTTTGCCTCTTCATGCATGTATGTGCCCAACTTGTTTATGAATGTGATCGCTTCACTTCCATGTTCTCTAATCTGTTTGATTGTGATGTTCGGAAAATCTTGGGATCTATCTCGTTAAGGAATCCCTTTAGAATATTTTCCTTGTAGAAAATCGAGTTATAAGGAAGTAACTATCGAGCTTGAATTTATTTCTTGTTATGTTATCATGGCCTAGCCCTAGAAGGATTTGGAATCAATTTGTCATTTATCCACCAAAGACTAAAGAGTCGATTTGGAATCTACGAGTAGGCCTACCGCCGCAGGCGGTAGCCCACCGCCTCGCCGCCTCCTCGCCTTGTTAGATTATTAACTAAGAATAAACAACTAGGAAAATGAAAAATTTTCACTCCTTTTGGCTTAAGCTTAATACTCGACTTAGGCAAAGAAAA